CTTTTTCCCCAATCTTGAAATTTGTGACATCCCAAATTAAAAAAAAAACTTGGAGCTTAAAGAAGATGCATTAATCAAGAAACCTACTCCTAAGACCACCATCATGCATTATTTCCATCATGACAACCATATTAAACGTAAGCAACCTCTTCATCAATTCCTTCCGGAGGGTGAAACACGTACAATCGATGAGTTTTTCGAAGGAATCAGAGGTGTTTAGGGATCCCAGACCATTGAGTTTGGTGAGGGTTTCTTATGGATTTGCAGATCTGATGAAGGATTCAAGATTTACAGATTTGATGAAGGATCCACATTTACAGATCTGATAAAAATTATGTGTGAGTGTGTGGGTGTTCGATTTGCAAACTTAAGAGCTCAAACCCATAAATCAATTATTCATATTTATCTTCTTCTATTCAAACTCAAGAAAACATATCATTATTTCTCTCTCTAAAAATGATTTTTGAGTGTCTTTAAGCTGAAGCATGATATGAAGACGAACAAAGTTCATGCTCTTCATCAACTTTGGTTTTCCATTTTGTTCAAGAACATAACTTTGATTTCTAGATTTTGTCTTCATGTTCATCATCAGAGTGTTGTTCCAGATCTATTGTTCATTGCTTTCATCTTCTTTGTTCTTAGAAATCAACAAAGTACAAACAACGCAACATAATGTACAAGTTCGTCAATGCATTATCCTTTGAACGAGCTCACTTAAAATCGATTTCGTCTATGTTCATGGAAATTATTTATGGAAAGAAGATAAACATGATCGAACATCAAATTTGGGGAGAAGATGAAGATCTACAAACCTTGAAGATCATTGTGTGTGTATTCATCTGATACTTCTTCTGTTCAAACTCAAGAACATATATCATTATTTCTCTCTCTAAAAATGATTTGTGAATGTAGGGTGTTTGATCTTCAAGCTGAAGCGCGGTATGAAGACGACCGAAGTTCATGTTCTTGAGTTTATGCTCTTCATCAACTTCGATTTTCCATTTTTGTTCAAGAACACAACTTTGATTTATGGGTTTGTCTTCATGTTCTTCATCTGATTTTTCGATTTATGTTCTTGAGTTCAAGTTTGTTGTAGATTTTGGGTTGGAGATGAAGTATTGTGTGTGTTGTTGATAAAAAATAAAAAAATTCAATTATTTTAGGTTTATGGTCGAAGACTCGTCGGAGAAGACAACCGGAGTGTCGTTGGAGGTGGCAAATATGTCGGAAACCGACTTAACCTCCGATAGCAACTCATAAGGATATATTTTGAACAATTGAACAAGTTCAATGAGAAAATATGAACAAAAAAATTCAATGACTTAATGTGTACAAATCAAAAAAATATATCATAATTTTACATTATTATCCATTTTAATGTTGTTTTGTGTTGTTTCTCCACATTTTTTCTCCAGACCTTCTGTCTTGATTACATCAATTAAATTGATATATTTTTATCCTTTCTCGTTATGTACTTCTAAATTTTAGTCCTATATTTAATAAAATAAATATTAAAATAGTTGTTAGGATAACCCTACATTTAAAATATTAAAAATAAATTATTGAAATTGTTCATGTGGTTTGCTTAAAATTACATATTTTATTTTTAATTTTTTTTTTTGTAATTAGATCAAAACCACACTAAAATCGTACTAACTATAAAGATGATCTGAATGTAAATAATAATTAACACACGCATAATTTTGATCAAACTACGATGTTCTTAATAATTTACTCAAATACTAATATATTAAATAAATTAAAGTATTATTTTAATAATATAAATTTTCAACTCTTGTTAATTAATGTATATCAAATAATCATTAAATATTATCTTTTTCCATCTACAAGTTTTATTTGTTCCTTTTGTAAGAGAAATAATAATATGTTTCTCGATATATATATATATATATATATATATATATATATATATATATATATATATATATATATATATATATATATATATATAATATGTTATAACTTTTTTATATTGTATGTATTTTATCATCATGTTTTTAATGTTTGATTGTGTTTATATATAATTGACTTCAACTTTAAATAGATAGTTATGCTATTTTATTTGGTTTTTGTTTAAAACTTTATCCTTTCTTTTTTTTTTTTGTTATATATCAATCTCTAATAAGTTATGATACTTATCATTTTTGGATATTTTTGAAATAAATAATATGCACTTGTCAATTTATGGTTTTTTCAATTTTTAAACTTAAAAAGTCATATAATCTTATATTTATATATGTAAAGTATCAACGGTAATATGTATTATAATAAATTGTAATTAATATGTTTCTTAATTTATTATTTAAAAATTTATTTTAAAAATTACTTATTATTTAAATTTTAATATTTTATTTTTTAATCAAATTGTATGATACAGTTTTACACTAAGTTATTTAGATATGATTACTTATTTATTGTTAGTTTTGGATATTTCGATTGGGAGAAATATTCATAAAAATCTTAAAATTTTAGTTTAATTTATGAAAAAGTTCCGAACTAATTTTTATTTACAGAAAAACACATAATACGGCTAAAACTTCGAAAAAACCCTTTTTGGCCGTTTTCGTAGATTTAGCCGGTATTCTGTCCTTTTTGTTAGTTTGTTCAAAATATTATGACTTCTCTGAAAATTACCGGATAACCAAAATATTATGACTTTTTTGAAAATTACTATGAAATTAATGGATATTATTATTAACAAATCATTTATAAACATAAAAAATATTTATTATTTAAACAAAGAAAATACATTTGTTGTTAATTTCTGTGAATAGAATGATCGACTATGTACTTCTTTATTGTTTGTTGGCCACTTCAAAGTCTCTATGTTCTTCCTATGTATCGTTGTGGGTGTCATAGTAAGAAGTACTCTATTAGGCGTGACCAATACAAGAGTTGATAATATTTATTAATACACAATAAATAAATGTCTATTTGCTATTAGGCATGATGCTATATGATCACATGTTATTAGAAAATATGATTACATGAACATATAGATCTTTCATTATGTTCTATAACCAAACTACCACCTAACCTCCAAACATTATCCGGTAACATCACAAAATTACACACATCTATCGAGAGTAAAAAGTAAACTTTGAATGACAATTTAAATAGATAATCACCCTTCACTTGTTTCCATATACATTATCATTGGTTCACTTTTCATATTTTATAGATGTGTGTTAGCCGATGGTTGTTAACATGTAAGGTATGAATGTTGGTTGGTAGTTAGGTTAAACAACATAAGAGGAACACCAACATTAGAGGAATGCTAACTAAGTTCATTTCACAATCGTACCCATAACAATGCATAGGAAGAACATAGAGAGTCTGATTGGTCAGGAAGCAATAGAGGAATACTTAGACCACCAATTTATTCCTAGAATTTGGCAACAAATGTATTTCCTTTTATATAATAAAAATAATTTTCATGTTTATAAATGATTTGTTAATAATAATATCCATTAAATTCATGGTAATTTTCAAAAAAGTCAAAATATTTTGGTTATTAGATAATTGGGATAACTACAGTAAAGTCCCTATATTTTGGCAAAAGTTTCAAAAAAGTCCTATTTTTTTTTTTTTTGAATGAAAAAGCCCAATAAACCGGATAAACCGGACAATTTAGTCCTTATTATCCGGTGACCCTCATATTACTGGTTAAAGAAGTCTACATGGACTGGGCATGCTTAGGTGGACTTAACGAAACTTAAATATATACATCATTCGTTCCTTTCGTGCCCTAAAATCGGACCAGGCGAAAATCGAAGCAGAAGGAGGAGCCACCAATTTCGTCTTCATCTTCTGTAGGAAGCAGAAGTTCAAATCGAAGAGTGATGAATCGACTGAGAAGCAGGTGCTATTGCGGTGATCCCGTTGGAAAATGGACTTCGTGGACTCCCTTTAACCCAGGAAGAAGGTTTATAGGTTGCCCAAATTACCAGGATGCACTTAAAGACTGCAAGTTCTTCCAATGGGTGGATCCTCCTCTACCAAATCAGTGGTATGCAAATCTCTTACTAGAATTTCACAACAATGTTAATTTGGAGAACAATGCAATTTTCGCGGACTATGGACAACAACAAGTTGAAGGGAACTTTTTTGAGGACATTGTGGAACAACCAGTGGCACAACCACCAGTGGCAAATCAACTCGTGGAAGGAGTGGCCATTCAAGTCCAGAATAGAGAAGAAGGTGGAAAATGGAAATCTTTTTTTTATTTTTATGTGTTCATGGTTTCTTTTGTTTTTGTGTTGGTGATGTTGAAGGATTTGTAGGATAGACAGAAGATGTATGGAAAATAGTGTGTTGGTGTCTTTTATGTGTTTTGATTGTGTTTTGGTGTCTTTTAGGATAGACAGAAGATGTATGGAAATCATGTTGTGTCCTTTTGTCAAGTGAAATGATTTAACAAGTTTATGTTTATGTATGAGTCGTAAGTGCTTCGAATGTAATCATGAGTGAAAAGAATGGAATGAAACAATAAATGGAATGAAACATGAATGGAATCATTAATTAACTGAATCAATAAACAATGGAATGAATATAGAATATAATCAAACATGTTTAATAAACAATGGAATGAATATAGAATATAATCAAACATGTTTAATAAACAATGGAATCAATAATGACCGGAATCAAGTATGGTTGGAATCATGCATGACCGGAATCAATTATGGCAGGAATCAAACATGGTTGTAATCAATTAACATACACAATAGAATCAAATCAATCACAACATAAACATACACAAGTTAATCAAGTTAAAGATGCATTATCCCCCATGTTTATCATAGAACATGTAATATTAACCAAAAGTTTGTACAAAACATAATCAAGGGGCCCAAAGCATATACTTTATATGGCTATAAACAAAAGGAGCTATCAATAAAAGGGGCTATCAACGGTTGCCCAATGTCAAAAAGTTTGTACATGTTCTTCACAAAAGGATGGGTTAGAAACACCCTAATCTAGACTAACTGGTTGGATGAACTCATCCCCTTCCCATGTTTGATAACCACCAATTTCTTCAATTGTATTTTTGTTATCCTCTCTGAAGTCTTCCTCTTTCTCAGTTTTGGCCTCCTACCCATGTCCTCCACAACCAGGCCCTCCTGATCCATAACTTCTTGTTCCATGCCCTCCTCATCTATGCCATTCTCATTGATTCCCTCCTAATCCAACCCGTGTGCACCCATTCCATCCTGATTCATGCCCTCTTGATCCATAACTTCTTGTTCCATGCCCTCCTCACCTATGCCATTCTCATTGATTCCCTCCTGATCCAACCCTTGTGCACCCATTCCATCCTGATTCATGCCCTCTTGATCCATAACTTCTTGTTCTATACCCATATCCTCTTCAATGATTCCCTCTGGACCCATACCATCCTGATTCATACCTTCTTATTCCATGCCCTCCTCATCCATGCCCTCCTCTTCATTCTCATTCAAAGTTTCTACAGTTAATTGGCTAGGAAATTCAAAACCCTGCAACAAGCATATCAATATAGGGTTAGGCATACTAAACACAATAAACTAAAATTCTATTGCTAAACCATACCTGTGATATATTAAGATCCACAGGTACATGTTTTAGACCCTCAAATTCATATAATTCTTCCTCATTGATTCCAAGACAATCCAAAATCTCTTGTGTAGTGTAATTCGACTGTCCCATGAAATCAATATCACACTTTACATCCATTCTTATTTCATCATCAACTTCAGGACTCTCCATATCTCTTGCCTCTTCATTATCACTCTCAACAGTTGGAGTCACCATATTTTCTTCATGAAGATTAGAAGTTCCCTCACCAAATTTTGTATTCCATCTACCTCTCTTGCCTCTTCCTCCAGATCCCCTACCACCACCTCTCTTCCCTCTTCTACCAGATCTAGTACCCCCACCTCTATCACCTCTTCTAGATCCTGTCCAGTTAGTCAAATCAGGATCTAATTTGGGTCTGCCCATTTTCTTTTTAGGTTTTGGCTCAGGTACAACCTTTGGATTTTTGCAAGAAGCTTTATTATGTCCCCTTTGAAGACAATTCTTGCATTGTACAGTTCTTCCCTTGTTAGACACTTAGGGGTACTTGTCTTCATGCTCAGATATATGTCTCCTTCTTTTGACACTGGGTCGTCCTGGCATCCTCCTAGCTGTAGGTGGTAGGGGATTGGTATAGCCAGTTTCTTCCCACAAGTTACTTCCATTGACTGGAAGTATGTTAGACTGATATGCAGCCATGTAATTACTCTTGCTGAACCAAGTGCTAAAGAATTCCTTTGGATCTTGGTTGGTGTATAATATTGCTACCTGGGCATGCACACAAGGTATCCCTGCTATATCCCACAGTCTGCAACTACAGTAATGGTGTTCCAAATCAACTCCATAACTTTGAAAGCCATTCCTAATTTCATATGAATTAACACCACTTGGCACTGCATACCAAGTCCTGCAAATATAAAAATTTATGTTATTATAAATGTAATAACAGTAAATTAAAAAGCTACATGTATATATGAAATACAAATATACCTTATATCCTCAGCAAATTCCTCCATCTTTAGAAGTGTTGCTTCACACACATCACCTTCTAATTTCTGTGCTTCCTCTCTTAAGTTGTAGAACCTTTCCATCATGTAGAGTCTTATTTCTTCAAGCATAGCTAAAAGAGGCTTCTTTCTAGCATCTACAATGACTGCATTAAAACACTCAGCTATCCCATTCTCTACAGACTCACATGCCAAACCACTGCCAAAAAATTCCCTGCACCATGTATGAGGTTCTCTAGCCATAAGATGATCATATGCACCTTCACTTAAAGTCTTGATCCAATCCATGTTTATCTTGAAATCACCTTCGGTTGTAGATTTTGCAGCTGCCCAAAACAAGTTTCTGAATTGTATCCCACTATACACTTTCCTAAAATTGGCATAAATATGCCTAGCACATTGTCTGTGCTCTACATGGGGTAGAATATCCTTTGTTGCTTCAACAAGACCCTAGGAAATGAAAAAATATATTAGTAACTGTTATTAAAAACTATAATAGATGATATAAATTAAATGAACCTGTCATTACCTTGTGTTGATCACTAATGACACATAATCCCCTGCTAGCATCCAATGAAAGATCTTCACTAACTAGTTCCAAGAACCATGTCCAATTAACCTTGTTTCCAACCTCCACAACAGCCCATGCTATAGGGTAAATTTGATTATTTGCATCTCTACCTATTGCAGTTAGTAACTCACCTTTGCATTGTCCCTTTAAAAAACAACCATCCAACCCTATAACCCTAGGACATCCTTTCTTCCACCCATCTTTGATTGCTTTAAAGCACACATAGATTCTATGAAAAGTTGTAGTCTGATCAGGGTTAATATTAACAGAAATCCTAACTGTGCTACATGGATTGGACCTCATCAGTTCATGTCCATAATTCCACACTCTTGCATAATGGTCACTCAAATTGCCATCAATTAAGGACAGTGCCCTACACCTTGATCTATAACATTTTGACCATGACACCTTGCAATGAAATTTACTTTGAATTATTGCCTGCATTTCCTTGCATTTTAACTTTGGCTTCCTTACTAGTTCTTTCACAAACTGCTTTGCTAACCAAGTTGGATTTATAAGCCTTGAACTACTAAAATTCCTAACACTCTTTTTCACCTAGAATGATTTTTCAGTACTCATCCATGAAGCACGAACCATAAATGGGCATTTTTCTGGATCACTAGCACACACAGCCACTAGTCTAACACTATCACACTTCTTGAAACGAATCTTATAGCCCTTATAGATGGAATAATTTGTTAAACATAATTTCAGTTCGTGTCTAGATTCATACCTTTCTCCAATAACCGGTTTCATCACATTCCATTTGACCTTCGATTATGGATGGAGTATATGATTTCATCTTTATCACTAGATTCATCAGTGTTTTCCTCATCATCTAGTTCTACTCAAGCATTTTCTCCTTCAACTTCCACTGGTTCGTTATCACTGTCTTCACAAAGAACATTAAGGAATTCATCTTTGCATCTTGAAACTGATTTGGTTTTTACAAAATCATCAACTTGAACATCAATTGTGTCAGGCTCAAAGACTTCATCCATCGCGAAAGGACACGAGCAGAATGGATTGATCGATTTGTCGGGAATAAAGGAGACGAGAAAAAAGGGTTTTCAAAGAAAACCTAAATTAATGAGGTCAAGGATACAGTCGATGCCATATAGTCTTCTTTAACCGGGAAAATAAGGGTCACCGGATGATAACGACTAAATTGTCCGGTTTATTGGATTTTTTCATTTAAAAAAAATAGGACTTTTTTAAAACTTTTGCCAAAATATAGGGACTTTATTGTAGTTATCCCTAGATAATTTTTGGAAAAATCCCAAAATTTTGAGCAACTAACGAAAAATGATAGAATACCAACAAAATCTGCAAAACCTGTCGGAAAGGGTTTTTTCGAAGTTTTAACTGGTATTATATGCTTTTCTGTAAATAAAATTTTGTTTGGGACTTTTTCATAAATTGTATTAAAATTTTAAGATTTTTCTGGAGATTTTCCTTTCGATTGAATGTAGAAATTTGACAAAACTGTAAATTTGGTCTTTGTGGTTTGCAATTTTTTTTGGATAGGGTCCAAAAAGTTTCCGGTTTGCACAGAAGGTCCAAAATTAAGGTTTTTCTAGGTTTTTAGTCCTAAACTTAGGAATTTTTTGTATTTTTGGTCCATGAGGCACTTGAATTGACTGTTTTGCCCTTTAAATTTCTTTTTTTGTATTTTTTTATATTTTTATTTTATAAATATTAATGCGCTCACCCCATCTCTCTCTACCCACCCCACTGAAGCCCTCCCCCTTCTCTTTCTTCCTCCTCCATCTTCTTCTTCTCCTCCTCCCCCCCCCCCCCCCTCTAAACATAAACACACCTGCAACTCCAAATACGCATAGACAAGGAACTCGAACACATACCAACATCAAACCCATCACAAAATCCATAATAAAAATAAAGCATAAACATTTATTACTATAAAAAAATAGCTCCAAATTTTCAAAATTAATACCGACGCTCCATCAAAACTTCATCTCAAATCAGAAACATAATTATTCAACATACTAACTCAATCAAAAAATCGTTTAACATATTTAACCCACAACAATCCAACACAAATATCATCCGAACACGGAATCAACTGAAATCTGGAAAAATACCCTAGAACACTTCAATGGAGAAAATCTTAAAAATTGGAACAAACCATAAAAATTACAGAATCAAAAACTACTTACCTGAAAACATGTCAGAGTTTCAAGATGTCTTAAAAGTATTGTCATAAGTATCATTCTGATTACTTTGAAGAAGAAAATGACGAACCTGTAGGCGAAGAACGCTTAAACATATTTGATTTCAAACTTCAACCCTAAGACAATCAGATTAAAGCGAATTACAAGAGTTCTGATGCTGGATTCGATCGTATTATCATCTAGGGTTTGGGAAATTGGGTTTGTTCTTTGTACTCTAGCATGGGGAGATGGAATTGATCTTGAAATTAGGAAGGTAAGATGAGCAGGAGAAAGATGAGTTGTCACATATTAATTGGGAACTGAGGATGAACAAAGAGCGAGTCGATGTGCTTCTTTCATCAAGTGGGTAAGTGTATGAGGGGTAGAGGGTTCTACCGATGATGGGTATAAAAAGGGGGTGGTAGTGGTGGTGGTGAAATTAGGAAGTTGAACCAGACTCCGGCGAGGCCGTTGTTTCCTCCAGTAAGGTCGTTGTTTACTCCGACGAGACTGTTGTCGAACAAGTAAAGAGTCTTGAGACTCCAGCAGCTCCCAAGCTCACCTGAGATTTTTCCGATGAGTTTGATGGAGTTTAAAATCAAGTTTTGGAGGTTTTCAAGGTTGCCAATGGAAGATGAGATTAGGATGAGAAGTTCTTTGTGTGTGTGTGTGTGTGAGAGAGAGAGAGAGGTAAATGGGTGGGGGATAATTACTTTCTTTTCTTTTTATTTTTAAATTAAAATAGTATTTTAATAATTATAAAAATACAAAAAGGAAAATAAAAGTGTATAACCGTCTTTTCATGTTTTTTGTACAAAAAACCAAGAAAAACCTTGATTTTGGATCAAAAACCTTAATTTTGAACCTTCTATACAAATTGGAAACTTTTTGGATCCTATCCAAAGATTTTTGCAAACTACCAAATTTTTTATCTAAAAATTTCTAATATATTTTTCAATTTTTTTTTTTTTTTGGCATAATGCGACTCACCTGGTATGTATATATATAATTTGAGAAAGATTCATCCAATGGAATCTCAAACCAATCTCCCCTCCATAAAACTCTCTTTTTGGAACAAACACAACACAAGGCAAAAGCCATGATCACCTCCTTAGGTATTTGCTCTTTCTAGTCCCTACCAAACTCGAATGGCGACCGCCGTCCCACCTCCGCCGCTAACTCGTCTCAACACCTTTGTTGCCAGATCCCGAATCGGAAAACGCTTCAAACTCGACGAACGTAACACCACCTTCACCACTGAGCTCCGCGCTGGCACCGCCACCTTTCTCACCATGGCCTATATCCTCGCTGTTAACGCCTCCATCCTCTCAGACTCCGGCGCCACTTGTTCAGTTTCCGACTGCATCCCTCTCTGTTCCGACCCCTCTTTCACCTCCAATTGCACCGGTCGTGATCTCCGTCTCATACAACCCGAAATCTCCTGCAAGTTTCCACCTGTAAACCCCGGTTACACCGCGTGTCTTGAAAGAGTCCGGAAAGACCTCATTGTTGCTACCGTCGCATCATCTCTCATTGGCTGCGTAATCATGGGAACTTTCGCTAATTTACCTTTGGCCTTAGCTCCGGGAATGGGTACGAACGCCTACTTTGCTTACACCGTCGTCGGATTTCACGGCTCCGGTAACATTTCTTATGAAAGCGCGCTTGCCGCCGTTTTCATCGAAGGGGTGATTTTTCTATTAATCTCTGCCGTGGGTTTACGAGCTAAACTCGCCAAGCTAGTTCCCAAACCAGTCCGGATCTCCTCCTCCGCGGGCATCGGATTGTTTTTAGCGTTTATCGGTCTGCAGAACAACGAAGGCATCGGCTTAATCGGCTACAGTGCTTCCACGCTTGTTACGTTAGGCGCGTGTCCAAACTCTTCACGCGCGTCACTAGCTCCGGTTATCACTTTCCCAAACGGCACTATTTCTCTGCTCCCCGGCGGCTCAGTCTCCGGCAATATCATGTGTGTCAATAATCGAATGGAGAGTCCAACGTTGTGGCTTGGTGTGGTCGGCTTCGTAATTATAGGGTATTGTTTGGTTAAAAACATAAAAGGAGCAATGATTTACGGCATCGTATTTGTGACAGCGGTTTCATGGTTCCGTAATACGCAAGTAACTGTCTTTCCAGATACTCCGACCGGTGACTCTTCATTTCAGTACTTCAAAAAGATAGTCGACGTTCATAAAATCCAATCAACCGCCGGAGCATTAAGCTTTTCAAGCATCAACAAAGGCTATTTCTGGGAAGCATTAGTGACCTTCCTTTACGTCGACATCCTGGACACCACCGGAACCCTATATTCCATGGCACGTTTCGCCGGATTTAGCAACGAAGACGGGGATTTCGAAGGACAGTACTTCGCTTTCATGTCCGACGCTTCAGCAATCGTGGTGGGATCTTTACTTGGTACATCACCTGTAACGGCGTACATCGAGTCGTCAACAGGGATAAGGGAAGGGGGGAGGACCGGAATAACGGCGTTGACGGTGGCAGGGTATTTCATGCTGGCATTCTTCTTTACGCCGTTGCTGGCATCGATTCCGGCATGGGCGGTGGGTCCGCCGTTGATTCTAGTGGGTGTGCTGATGATGAAATCAGTGGTGGAGATTGATTGGGACGATATGCGGCAGGCGATACCTGCGTTCATGACGTTGATATTGATGCCATTGACGTACTCCATCGCGTATGGTTTGATCGGCGGGATTGGAACGTACATGGTACTGAATTTGTGGGATTGTGGTGAGGGGTTATTGAGTAAATATGGAATTCTTAAAGGGGTAAAAAGTAATGAATTTATTATTAATGGTACTTTAGGGGAAAATGGTGTAATTAAGGAAAGTAGTGTGGTGGAAAGTAGGAAGGCACTTGAGGTTTAGGTTGAATTTTCCATTTTTTTTTTTTTTTTTTTTTTTTTTTTTTTTCCTTTTTTTAAGATGTAACATGGATTATTTAATATTTATTACTACTATTATTATATTATTTTATAAAAGTGAAAATCATGTGGATTTTAAATTTGGACACAAGTCAATTAGCTTAGGCGCTTAGCTAACAAAAATACAAGTACAAGTACCGGTATATTGGATTACAAAATATTACTATTTTTATACTGTAAAAAAATGTTATTAATTTGCAACTTCAAAGATTACCTTTAAATACTTAACTTAAAAGATTACCTTATATGTACCAACAAATAATTATAAATTGATCTCTTTAAATACTTAACTTACAAGATTACCTTATATGTACCAACAAAATAGATCCATAAAAGATTACTACAATATTCAAAAGAATGTTACCTTAATTGTAACCTTTAATAATAAGATGAACATGATTAAAACAAAATAAACAGTTTTCATAATGTGTCTCTATCATGCTTTATCTCCCATGGTAATGTTTTTCTTGTTGGAAGCAAATTAAGTTTGCGTATCTTAGTCTTTATCATGTTTTATATCCAATTAATTACATTAGAAACCATGCATGAATCTAGAGATGCCAATAGGGTGTAATCGTGGTTATGAAAATATACATCCTACACCCAATCAAATTGTCCTATATATTCCACTTGTGTCCTATTATCTTTACACCACCATTCTTAATCTTCTTAATCTATTTTTATAACGCACAATTTTATATATAAAACACATTTTATATAGTATTAGTGCTAAATATGACTTAATTAAGAATTGAAGACACAAATGAATATCTGACCCTCACGAACAAAGTAAAATAATACCGACACTAGATATCGTTAGAATAAGTGTTGGTAGTAGGCTCAGGGCCTGGCCTGCCTATTGTAGTTGATATGTATAATTGGGTCCAACCTAGTTCTAGCTAGGGTTACGTTATGTATTTTGTCTATATAATACAACTACGACTGATAATTAGGGTTTTATTGTATTATCATTTTTAAGCTCGTGAATAAAAATAACTCATTGTCAATAGATGTAAGGGCTGCTTGGCAAGATCTGAATTTTTAAGATCTAAAATTTTAAAAGGTCTGAATTTCTAAGAGGGTCTGAATTTTTAACATCTGAATTTTGAATTGCTATTTGGTTGGAACCTCTGAATTACAGTGTTAAATTATAAAAATAA